TAGGGCCCAGCAGTTAGCGTAATGGCTATGTTGCTGGACTCCTGCAGTTCGCGTCCCAGACCAGGCGGCTTAAAGTCATGCTGGGCGCATGTGCATGTGTGCCCAAGATCCCAAGAGGAGTAATGGAGGAGAAGGGATTGTGGCATGGCCATCCTCCCTGGGGGGTGATTTCTCGCTTTCTGTCCATGCAGTGGAACTCAATTGAGAACCAGCAGTCCAGTTACAAGTCACAAGCCATGGCTCAGCTGCTTCAGGAAAACCACTCTCTTGCCTCTGTGGCATCCAGTGAGGATGATCAGAATGGTCCCAGGAGCTATGCTAGCTCACAGCCTTCTCACATGCTGACTGAAGGTTTTTTTGCCGTGGCTCAACAGCTTTCAAGGCACATCTTCAGTAGGATAATACCTAGGCATTTTGCGCAGTTTAACCACGTAGGTACCACCTTCTTGTCTCCACCAACTAGTTTTGTGACAGTTGCAAGAACCTTCTCCTTTTTCTTTTTGATTCTGGATTTAGTGGACAAGTATTTCCTCTTCTCCGTGGCCTTACTAGAAAACATGGCAAATCGGGAGTATCTGCCGATGCCCCGGACTACGACCAGGTTTCAGCTGCAATGAGGCTTCCCCTTCTTAGGCTTTTTAGCCTTGGAGACACCCTTTTTAACCTTGCTACTGTCATCAGCCTTCTTGGCTTCAGGTTTCTTCTCCTTAGTGTCCTGCTTTGCAGCTTTTTCATCTGCCATCTTGTATAGTAGAAAAGACCAACAGTTTATTTCTCAAGATAGAAATCTCTCTTGGGTCTCAATGGAGACAGAATTATCTAGCTAACATAATGGTTGATAAACTGCCTAGGGGAAGGGGCCAAAATATTACATAATCCCAACAAACATCCTCATGCTCCCCCCCTTTGCTGAGTGACTAAACTTAAATTAAAATTTTATATAAAATAAAAATTTTATTTTATATAAATAAATACATGTATATAGATTTTTTAAAGGTTTTTGCCATAGGGTACATACACTCACCAGAGAGAGATAGAGACAGTAAGAGGGAAAGTGAGAAATCACCCTCCCCGCCCCCCCCAGGGATGGCCAGGCTGCAATCCCTTCTCCTCCATTCTTCTCCTGGGATTTTGGGCACACACGCACACATGCCCAGCATGATTTTCAAACTGCCAGGTCTGGGGCTTGAACCATGGTTGGCCATGTGGGAGTCCTGTGCTGAAAGCACCACACTACCTGCTGGCTTATATTTTTAATATGTATTTTTAAATTAGAAACGTTTTTCAGAAAAGCAGAATATTACTATTAAGAAGAAAAAAAATGGTCATCTTTTCCTGAATTATAGTATATTTTATTTTGTCAATGACTTGACTGAAAACTATTTAAAAACTGAATAAAATACCAAGAGACAAATATGCATAGTCTTGAATTGAGAAAAGACTAGATATCTACACAAGAGGCCTTCAAAAAGTTTATAGAATATATGTATTACAGAAAAATTATGCAGGAATTTTGAAATTTTTGTACGCCAAAATAAACTCATTCTTTAGTGACATTTTTCCACACACTTTTTAAAGTCCCCACATCCTTTAACACATTATTAGTGGTTATCTCCAGATGATGGAAGTTGAAGCTAGTTTTCTTTTTTCTTTGTAATTTTCTTCTACCAAATTACATGACTTTTCTTATTAAAATATTTAAAATGAAAAATTCCCCTTATAAGCTACAAAATCATTTAGAAATAATGTCTGCAGATCAAATAAAAGGAGGTCAAGAGTTGTAAGCATTGCTTTATCTATTCTTCTTTTCTTTTGGGAGAGGTTTTTGCGATAGGGCGCGTGCGCTCACCAGAAAGACAGAGAGAGACAGAGAGACAGAAAGCAAGAAATCACCCCCCCAGGGGGGATAGCCACGCTGCAATCCCTTCTCCTCCATTCTCCTCTTGGGATCCTGGGCACGCACGCACACACGCCCAGCGTGGGTTTAAGACACCGGGTCCGGGACTCCAACCGTGGTCGACCATGTGGGAGTCCAGTGACATAGCCATTACACTAACTGCTGGTCCCACTTTATCTATTCTTAAAGGAGTCTTTTACTTAATTGTATTAAATTCCTTCTCTGTATTATGTCCCCACCGACTTCCAGCTCTACCTAGTTTACATGTGGTTATAAAAAAAAGATTCAGTAATCCAGGAAGGTAAACTGTTTGCAAGGTAACCTTTGTGCACTGTAGCAGCTTGATTTTTTGATAAGCTCAGACAAAGCAATCTGGCAATGGCTAAAATATTCCAGTATATTAAAATGCAAAGCTCAAATGCCAATGTTTAATAAACAGGAAGACCAAACAAAGGAAGAATGGCATACCCCTCGGTTTCTTACCAAGGCTGTTGCCTCCTCAAGTGGACTGATGTCCGAGGGCTCGTTTGTACTGAGTTTCCCTGATGATACGGCCTTCAGCAGCTTATCCATTTTCTTCCTGGTTTCCTCCTTCTTTAGAGCCAGCTCCCTCTTTAGGAGCTCTGCACCACGCCAGTGTTGCCACTCTGTGAAGCAGTGTTGGAGAACTTGTTTCCGGTTATACTCGGTGGCCAGTTGTTGTTTTCTAGCAACAAAGCACTTCCATTAAACTACAGAAACAACTTACAGTTTATTCATTGATAATATAACTGAAATACAAGTCCAAAAGAATCCTAGAAATGCTCTGTCTTAACTCCAGCTTATCCTTTCACATTAAGCAAAACAGAATTGTTTTATAAATTCCCAGCGCAAAGAGTCTCCTCATAGAAGCTGCTGGTTTCTCAAGGCATTACCTTTAAGAAGAAAGAGTGACTGTTGTGTCTTATCATCCACAGAGACAGCACTGTGTGATTAAAGTTTCTGATTTCCATATAACAGTTTATGACAACTTTTGGAGGAGAAGGAGCACAAAGAAAAGGGTATAAACAATTACTTTTAAAAAAATGAATTCAGGAGGGAGAAGGAGATTCAGGTATGTGGAAATCTCAGACAGAGATTTGGAAGAGTTCTGGAAGAAAAGGAAAGGAGCTATTCCACTTACCAAGTGAGTTGTCAATAACTAAGTTTAAGGCTTGTGAAAATCAAAAGTAACATGGTGAGAGTGGAGTTTGTGAAAGAAGGGCTTAATCAGGAAAAGGATCACTAAAGAGAAGGACTCTTTGACCAAGCCCTGGGACTCAATGAATGCAGACGCCTGCTCAGCCCTGGACACGTGGGGGAGTCAACGGCAAGGCGCTTGACCTCACAGTACTCATTCACCTGTCTATACCTTCCTAAGGAACAGTGCCCTTCAATTCCTGGAAACTGTATAAACATTAGAGGACATGACCGAGTGAAGCTGGGAAGTGGGGACACTGCCAGCCATAGTCCCTTCCTAATGGGAAGCTCCCTTAGAAGACACGCCAGTGACAACCAATCAAGAAAGCGGACTTAGGCTCTGAGATCTAGCCATAAATGGCTGGTTATTATCCCTGAAGAAGTGATCCATGAGCTTGGAAATTATGTGGCATCAGGCTGAGTTAGGAAGTTACAAATTTGGTATCATTTAGATACCTACTTGGTTTTATCTTCTATCAGACTCACGTAAGTTCTCCATAACACTGTTTTGAATATCCACTTCTGTTAACAATATGTAATGCTTAATCTTCTTTGTGGATTCTTTGGGTATTCATATCAAGAGAATCAAAACATTCTTAAGTCAATCAGGAAAATATTTCTCTACTTGTTAAATGCTTAAGTGACTTTTAGACCTTTTCGGATTGGTTTCTACCTACAGTAAGAAAAATGGTCACACTGTGATTCAGTACATAGATTTATGTGTGTATGTGTATGTATGAGACTAAAGTAAATATAACTGACATAAGTTTCACCAAATAATATCTGCCCTACTAGAGATGCATTCTCATATTTTTGTTCCTATGTATTCTACGTTTCTTTAAAAAAATAAGCAGTTCTGCCAACAACATATTTCATTATACTTAATTGCTTTCTCCTAATGCATTGATGATAGGTACTTGGTGACTGATTTTTAAAAATAAAAGTATAACATAGATGTTAATAAATATGTGTCATATTTTACATTTATGGAAATAAGTATCTGAGGCTGAATAACTTTGGATTAAAAATGTTAGAATAAGAATTAAAAAATCAGGTAACAAAAGAGGGGAGAAGAAAGGTCCAAAAATATCAGTGGATACACAGTGAAGCAAGTAAAACTTGTAAAACATTTTATGTGAGTGAGTAAAAATCATAAATTTCCACAAGATAGAAGATATATGTTGTTCAATCTGATTATTGTGAAATTTAATTTACATCAATCTGCTCAGGAAGGAGGAGTGTGAAATTTACCTGCTGTGCTAATTTCATGTTTTTACTGCATAAACAGCAAAAAACACTGGGGTTTTTACTGTCAGGGAGATTAGTTGGACACTATAAAGGCGAAGAGAAAAATATTTCTGTAAATATAATGAGACTAAAAAAGCTTTTAAAATGAGTGGAAAAATCCATGTTCACTGTAATACTTGGGGTCTACTCAAAGTATCTGTATTTGGTTGGTCAGCCTCATAGCCAGGTGGTTAAGGCAGCTGGATCCCACATGGCTCGTGTAGTTCAAATCTCGGCCCTGGCACATTGTAAAGCACAGTGGGTACATGTATATGTGTGCCCCAAATCCTGACAGTATGAAATAGAGGAAAAGGAACTGTGGTGTGACCACATCCCACTGGGAGGTGCTTTTGCTTTCCTTCTCTTTGTCACTCTCTGGAGTGTATTCACCCTCTGGCAATTAAAAACAAAGAAAAAAAGAGATCTGCATTTGTGGGTTGAGGTGGAAGGGCAGAAGTCCAGAAACTAGGGATCCAGAAACAAGGCCAGCTCCACTCATACTCCCTTTCAGTTCACTTCAGCAAAGGGACAATTTTCCATGTAAGTCAGTTTCTATGCTTTTTTAAAAGATATCACTAGAAACATAAATGTTTCTGAAAGTGAAAAATCATTTACATTTCTTAAAACCATAGTCAGATGCAATTTACTTGGACATGCTCACCTAAAGAAATAGTTTTGGACACAGTTTCTAGATCATCATAAAATGAAGAAAGAGTTCCCTTCTGGACAGCCCACCCCGGTCTGCATGCAAGATGAAATCGGGAAATTTCTAGCTGGAGTGTAGAAACTGATTATCAATTATATAACTTCATGCAGAGAAATGCTGTCTCTGCAGGCCTGAAAATATAAAACACAAAAGGTTCCTATAGGGATTTAACAAGAACTACGCTGCCCAGAATCAATACCTCAAAAAACACCTGGTGACTGGTACATATTCTAGAACCTCGAAGTCAGAAGAACACTAGACGTGAGACACTGGGCAAGCAACTAGAAGTTTCTCAGCTGCAGATTCATGCCTAAATATGGTGTCAATAAACCCTAACTGCCTATCCTACAAGAATTAAACTTTTTGAGAATCTAATTAAATTTTTAAAATCCTAAAAATGTAAGTTAATGATTGCTCTCTTAGGACAAGACTACTAGATACCTAAAAAGTGCCCTGAATTTTTATAAAGTTTATTCATTTCTTCCATCAGTGAGAGAGAGAGGGAGACAGTTTGCACCCCCAAGAGGGTCTTGACTCTGCAACCCACCCATAGCCTCAGCCAGCATCATGGGCATGTACATGCCTGGTGTACTCAGGGAGGTCCCTGGATGCAAACCCCAAACCCTCCCACATAGATCAACATCACAGAGCATCACATTTATTGCTGTGCTTCCATCTAGCCCCCAATGTGCCTTAAATTTTTAAAAGGGAA